AGTGAAATTTTATTGCATACAACTCTCAAAGGGTCACNAACTTAGAACTGAGGAGAAATTTCCTGACAGTTAGAACAATTAATCAGTGGAACAGCTTGCCTCCAGAAGTTGTGAATGCCCCAACACTGCAAGTCTTTAAAAAGATGTTGGATAGCCATCTGTCTCAAATGGTATAGGGTTTCCTGCCTAGGCAGGGGGTTGGACTAGAAGACCTCCAAGGTCCCTTCCAACTCTGCTATTGTATTGTATTAAGTCCAACCTTTCAACCACTTCCATCATCTACATTAGCTTCTATACAGATCAAAGTATCTATGGAGATTCTCAGACATCCAGGTCACGGTTGTTCCAAAGGTGCTTTTTCAAGAGCTCAAGAAGCTTCTTGGATGAAAAGTGAAATGTCTTCAAAGAAAAACCAGAAAGTCCAGTTGCTCTTGAAAAAGCAGCTTTGGGCCATACAGATCAAAGATCTAATGCAAAATTACTACAAAAGCAGCAGCAACAGTCTCTGAAATTTCCTCCACCATTTTAAGGTACAGTATTTTATCAAAATTGAGAAAATTAGGTTCAAAAAGAGACACGTTCAATAGGACCTTTTTCTAAACATTTAAAGTTAACAAGAGCTTTTGAAAACTGGGATGAGTAGCAAGTATCCCTAATTTTATTGGTTGATTTCTGCAACATATAGTTTAGGATTTTTAAAAACATTTTATCTGTTTAGTTTTGGAATTTTTAACGTTTATAATGTTTGATCATTCAATGTCCAAATAAAATTAAACAATGGGGGAGAAAAGGATTTCTGAATGCCCTTTCTAATAAAGGGATAGAGGCAAATAACCAGCAGCAGTTTTTCTACCAAAATTCTATTCAGATCTGGGACTTAATAAATTCCTGGAACCAGAAATGTAATTCTAAATGTTTTTTCACCAGGCTCCAGCTGCTGGCCCTCTCAAGTCCATTTTTTTTAAATTAAAAAAAGCAGTTTCTGAGTTCTCCTCACCTTGATTGGTAGCTTTCTCCATAAGCATGGTAGCGACACATATTTACTGATGACTCGATCATCTGTGTGGTTGCCAGTAAGAGTCTGTGGTGTAGCATACAACAAGGGAAAGCTGTCTCCCACGGCTATTAGAGACCATTCACCTGGGAGCCTGGGAAAATGCCTTTCAGCGGCTGAGTTATTTGGAGTGGCCTGGCAGGTGTTCACTTCCCAGCAAAATCTGGCACCTGAATCATCTGTTCTGAGTTCAGCAAAGTCTTCTCCAAAACCACAAGACAGGCCTATGGAGGCCTGTCGTGATCTCAAAGTGTGTTTGTACCTGACACACCCCTGCTTATTTTTCCACAATCTTTTCCAAAAGACCGAACCTTTTCTTCCTTTACAATCCAGCTATTTCGGATCCTGCACGCCCCAGCCTTCGCTCCGTTATTATTTGAAATGCATTCTTTTTACGTGCTGCGGGGACTAAAAACTCTCAATAAATAAAATAAATGTTTTTAGAGCAAACACATTGAAAGAACTAAATGATATATGTGGCTGTCTAATCTTATTCTTTAAACTGTAAAATGTATAGGCCACACAAGCATTAATATGTTAGCGTTGCTAGTCAATACTCTACATTTTCCTGCTTTAAATTACATCTAATCCCTTAATTATCTTTCTTCAGTCAATATTTCAACACTAAGCTTGAAGCTACAGAAAATAGCTTTTATCTAAATTGTGTGTGCTCATGTGTGTGTGTACATATACATATCTGTCTCTCTCACACATACTGTCACAGAGAGAGAGATTATCATCATCATCAGGAATAACTTCATCTGTCGAATAGTAAATCCTGCCTGTACGATTGCTCAGATAAGTTTTCCTCAATCTATGCCCTCATCATCCCCAACAAGCAAGGTCAATAGCCTTATTAAGTGTTGGAGTTGTAGTCCAGGATACCTGGAGGATACCAGGTTGGGAAACTCTTATTTACAGACACTCTTAGGCCAACCCATGTGTTGCCCATCATCAGTCAGGACCTTTAGCTAGAAACATAAAGGGATACAACAGAGGCAACAAAAATAGGTTCAGCAAGTTTTAGAGAGAGTCAGAAGAAAGAGAGCCGCTTCGGGGCATGGCATCCACCAGGCAATTCAGTCAGCTGAGTTTAACTTTATTAAGCTGTAAAATATTTAAAGACATTCTATCACTATGAAATTAGTATTGTAGAGCCTTAATATCCTTCTGAATATGAAGAGACTGCTAATAGCGTGAAGTAATTTGGCTGAGGCAACCACTCCCTCTAAACTCTGTGAGCCCTGAGGGTAAGCAGAATAGGGAAAGGCTAAGTCAGGGAACTGCTGGCGGGAGACTGAAACCTTCCGAGCAGTCATTTTTCCATTTTCCTGGAGGGAAACCATAGATCATCTCTACTTTCTCCAATAGACATTTACTGTCTTTCTCTTCTTTTGTTCTACTGCTTTAGGGTTGTGAAAAAGTTTCCCTTGATATCTGCAATTTTCCAAAAAGTACCGTATCTCACGTCCTTCCCATTTGACTATTGTTCTTAGTCCCTTTAGGTAGAACTCCTGCTTGTTTTTTCCTGAAAGTCAGTATTTAGTTGGACAAATGTCTATGGAGATTCTCAATCATTCAGGTCATGGTCATCCCAAAGGTGCTTGTTTCAAGAGGCAATTGGACTTTCTGATTTTTCTTTGAAGACGTTTTGCTTCTCATCCAAGAACCTTCTCCAGCTCTTTTCAAAAGCTTCTTGGATGAGAAGTGAAATATCTTCAAAGGAAAACCGGAAAGTCCAGTGGCCTCTTGAAAAGCACCTTTGGGACATTTGGAAAAATGTTCTTCTGCCTATATTACTTTTCTTCTTTGACCATGTTAGCATATTAGCAAACAGCCATTTCATTTTTTTTTGCTTTTTATATTGTTTTGGATATTTTTGATGACTTCATCTTTAATGGTATTAGCATTTTTGAAGCATTCTACCCAGTCTAATCCATTAAATCTATTCTTTTCTTGACTTGTCTACAATATTCACTGTATCATATGGCGTATTGATGAAAGCATATCTGGTTGATGATTTTATTAATGTTCTTCAGTTGTACTTTTAAGCAGTTTGTGAGCTGCAGTTAGAAGCCTATTTTTGTTTACTGATTACTATAGACCAGTGATGGCTAACATTTTTTGGCTCGCTCGCCATAGGGGGGGGGTAGGGGAGTCATGCGTTGGCATGCCGCACCCATAATGCAATGCTTGACCCCCCCCCCAGTGCACATGCACGCATGAGAGGTGCTCCCCTCATTTTTTGCATGCTTTTTTGCACTCCCCAGGCTCCAGAGGCTTTATAAGAGCCTGGAGAGGGCAAAAACAGCCTCCCCCCCCCCGGAGGCCCTCCGGAGGCTTTAGAGACCTTCAGGAGGCTTCCCTGAAGCCTCCGGAGGACTAAAAAGGTTTGCTCGTAGGGCCTCCTGAAGGTCCTTGAAGCCTCCGGAGGGCTTAAACCAACCCTACAGGCAAGTCCGTTCACAAACTTCCAGTTTGCCCATAGGGCCGTTTTTTTGCACTCCGGAGGCTTCAGGGAAGCTCCTGAAGCCTCCGGAGGGCCTCGGGGGGGGGGGGAGCTCTTTTCGCCCTCCCCAGGCTCCTATAAAGCCTCTGGGGCCTGGGAAGGGCGAAAAATGGCTTTAAAAAAGGCTGAACTCTGCTGGCCAGNCATCAACATAAAATGGAGCTTGCTCAGAAGCTGAAATACACCAAGCAAACGAGATGAAGAGTGGGAAGAAAAGGAGAGAGGTAAGGGAAGGAGAGAGATATAGGAGAGAGGGTAGAAGGGGGGAAGAGGAGGAGAGAAATGAGGAGTGGAAAGGGGAGAGAGGAGTAGGAGAGAGGAAGAGGAAATAGAGAAGGGAAGGAGGTAGGGAGGGGAATGAGAGAGGGAGAAATAAGTGAACGTATATATTGTATGGAGAACAGAAGAACCAATAACTGGGGTTTTTTTCTTTTTCTTTTGGGGAGTTGATGGTAAGACAGATTGATATAAACATTTAATAATACAATCGATGTTGGCTATGTAATAGTATACATGTGGTTATATGTTATGAAAAATAAAAATAAAAAACTTTATGAAAAAAAAAGAATTCAAACACTCAGTAAAAAGCTGAGTCGGGCTATTGTTGCAGGGAGCCTGGGCTAATTAAGAACTAATCAGTTAGTAAATAGCATGGAATAAAATAGCAGCAGGAAATTCATAACACAAGCATTTGCCCCAGTCAAAGAAGTAAGCTTCTTCATAAAAGGAAAGCAGATATGTGTAGACCATCTCTTGAGATGAAGTTTTGGGCACACATCAGAGTTACAAAGACTCCTTTCTAGAAAACAGAACCTGTCACTTGTGATATGGAGCATAAAAGTATAATGAGGGAGAGGGAGAGGAAGGGGGGGGGGAGAGAACATGAAATATTTGATTTATTCAGAATATTATACCTGTGATTAGAATGAATGTCAAGTCAGTTGATATGACCTAAAATGCCTGCTTGAGATATCAAGTGTTTCAACTGGAAGGCGTGGCCAATTAGCAGCTGAACCTCATTGTTCTTTCTGATATATGAGAAACAACGCTCTTTCATAATTCTGTTCCTGAGCTATGAATAGGTCAGAATGCTCTCCCCACTTATCATCGGTAGAGGATGTACCTTCCTAGTGGCCCTAAGTCAAAAAAACTGGTAATAAAAACTAGAGGAAGCTTCCTTTCAGTTCTGTTGCATTACGTGCCTTTTAATTTATTTGTGAGAGAACAGAACAAGTAAGTACTCTTACATAGCAGTTTCCATCTAAGAAGCCATTAGCAAGTTATGGTCAAGCAGTAGAAAGAGAAGAATGGAAATCTTTCTGTCAATAAAGGAGAATACTTGCAGCTCAGGATTGAAATGATGGGTCCTAGGAACTGATGATGTTACCTAGTTTGGGTAATGAAACATCTGCAAGAAAACAAGCAAGTTCAAACAGTGCCAAGGACCCCTCAAATCTTTCTGCACCACACCTAGTTTGTTGAAGAATACCATTAGTCCAAGCGTCACTTTTTCACCTTGTTTCTCCAAAGTACTCCAAAGGGAGACATAGGAAGCTTACCACCATGCCGTTGTCCAATACATCGCAGATTAGCCCATCTTTTGACAAAGTAAGCTGAAATGTGAAACTCGTCCGCTGTAACATAAAAAGCAAGGCAGGTTTTCTACAGGCAACACAGGTTTATCAAGTGTGTGTTTGGATTAAAATTCATATACAAAAACACAATTAAAATTCACTAAGTATATTTTTAAACATATGCTAGCTATGTGCATCGTTACCTCAACTCTAGCCACGAGATCCAAAATTGCATGTTCAAATGTTTCAGTGCAGGCTTGAGAACCGGTTATAAGCTACAACCTTTTATCCATTCCTTATATCACTCACCTCCAGTCCTGCCAAATGCCACTTTCTCACATTTCACAATTCTTGGCATAATTATATCTTTGGGCAATGTGGCAAACCTTTTTTTAAAAGTAATAATAATAATAATACATTCTATATATGAATCCTCCTTTAGTTTTATTTAAAATAGATCGACTTAACACACTCTGTAGGAAAAAAAAAGGGGACATCATAAAAATGTTGGAGGCCATTTCCACAAAAATAAAGTATCATAAAGTTGTGTTAAAATATTTCCAAACACACTCATTGTTGTCATTTTTTAAAAAAAAAAAGCCATGTTGAGAATTTGGTTCAGATTGGTAGAGTTTTGCAAAAAAAATATTGTAGAATATTTTTATACAGTTATTGATTTCCTTCTTTTTATAAGCCCATGGCAAAGCACTCGAGCCATCTCTCTCTCTCTCAAAAAAATAGTCACTGAATTTTTAAAACGCTTGATCATATTACACTATTGAAAGGTGACTTTGCACTTTATTCTACATTACACTGGAACAACAGAAATGCAATGACTGACTTTTTTTGGACTTCCTGTGTTTTACGTAGAAGAAACTTAAGATCTACTAAACATCAGTGCCTTGAATAATTCAATTAAAGATATGCTCTGCTCTTTAGCATTTAATCCTGTTGTTTTACTGTGAAAAAAAAAATACTCCTTTTTCACTCTTTTGCATAGTTTGGTACAAAAAGGCTACATTTTCTTTGGATAAGTTCAGCTAGACTGGAAAGAATCAAGCTAGGATGAAATGCACTTTTAAGATTTGATAATGGAATCCTGAAATGATCGAAATTATGTTTGTAGACCATCGAGGCCTATGGAATTTCTGCATCCTTTATTCTAAATGAAACCTTAATTCCATGGCCTTGCTATAGTAATCAAACACAGCCTGACTTGGAACTGTAGCTTTGCTTGGTTCTATAAAATCCAGTCTCAGTAAGCTAAAACTGGTAAAGTTTTAGTGGAGACAAAAATGTCTCTTAAGTATCACTGCATCAATGCCTTGGTTTGGACAAAGATGAAGGATGAAAGGAGTATCCTCACAAGCTTTTTCTTCAACTCAGATTTCCAATTCTCATGGCATTTCCTTTCTTTACAAGTCAATACCAAACAGTAATTTCTCTCCTTTTCTGACTCAGATAATTGCCTGTACGTTACTTTACAAGTTAGTTGCATAACAAACACTTTTGTCTCCAGAAAACCTTTGATTTCATGTCTATTGTTTTCCTGACTAACAACTCTGCTATGCTGTATTCCTCCATATATGGAATTATGGGACAGCACAACTGAACAACCAAGATTGGCAGAATAAAACCAAGATCATAAAGGTCACATAATTACAAACCAGCTTCATGAAGTTAATATTTTCATGAGACCAAGGGAACATTTTAAAAAGAGCTGGTAATTTTGAATTCCAGTAGTTCTTCATCAGGTTGTATGATTAAATGCCAAGGAGGGGGGGACGGGACATGGAGAGGAAGACAATTTGGGTCTGTTTCAGTTTAATTTGTTAACTGAAGTGAAAGAAGGTCTTTACAGACTTGTAAGACTTATTCCAAAGTAGCAATATAATAATTGCAGAAAGAAGGAACAAGCAAATATTTGTAGGTTCAGAAATTTTGAAATATAATTGCAATGGTTTTTCCCCAAGCATCTTTGAACTGAAGCGTTCCTGGTCATTCTTATTAATGAAGGAATGGCTCCATTAATGTGAAAATGTGGTTTGTGATGTACACAACTATGTTTCTAAAAGAAGCATGGTAATAATTTCACACCTTTGGATCAGAAATAAATATATTTTCACTGAACTCTAACCCTATTATTTTTACATATCTTGTGATTGGCACATCTCAGAGCATCATGTATATTTCCGTCACTGAAAACATTTTTACTGAAATCATGTGAAAACCTGATGTTTCCATTGTCATTTTAGAATAGTTAAAAATACCCACAGAAATTTGGACAGCTTCTACAAAAACAAACTATTCCTATTAGCATGTAGACTTAAAAGGAAAGTAGGTAATCTACACCCTGGAGATGGTGATGGGGTAAGAGTTGGAATTCGCTGATATGATTCCAAATTTCATTTGGAAAACAGCCTCAGGAATGACAATTGCAGACAAAGGCCTTCATCAGTCTGTTCACACCCCTGTGGTTAAATCAGAAAATTAAACTATGCTGATCAACAGCCTCACCCTACCATTTTGGCATGTTTTGGGCTGTAACTGGAATGACCCGGATGCAGACTGACAATGACAAAATTACAATTCCAGTAGGGCAGTATTTCTCAACCTTGGCAACTTGAAGATGTGTGGACTTCAACTCCCAGAATTCTCCAGCCAGCTTGTTGGCCGGAGAATTCTGGGAGTTGAAATCCACACATCTTCAATTGTCAAGGTTGAGAAACATTGCAGCAGGGAATGGATCTGCACCTCCCCCATTGATATAGTTTACTTGGACTTCAGTAAGGCATTTGATAAAGTAGACCATAACCTACTACTAGACAAAATAGAAAAATATGGGTTAGACAGCATCACCACCAGATGGATTCGTAACTGGCTGACCAAGCACGCTCAACGTGTAGTCCTCAATGGAACTGCATCTACATGGAGGGAAGTATGCAGTGGAGTACCCCNTTGGCCTGCCACACTCTCTCTTCTAGCTTCATCTTTAGTATGCGTATTCATTAAGGGGGGAATAGCAAGGGGTAGAATGTGTTGTTTTCAAAATAAAAAATTCCTTTCTAGAAGCTCAAGGTTATTCTTTGTCTCCGCACCTCTACACCTGACCGGAACCAGCTGGGTGGAGATGCCAGCGTGGAAGAAGAAGATTGGACCATGTGATGGATTTGTGGGTGTGGGGATAAGATCATGAACTTTTAACTGGGTGGAATCCCAGGAAGTTTTAGAATTGGGATTCCATAGTATGATGCCAACATGTCTGTTTTATTAAATTGGAACTTTAAGGATAGCTCTGCCTTGGACTCTGATTTAATTCTGCATGATATTTGGATCGCTGACATCTACAATATCTTTTATTTTTTCTGTTTCAATGGTAAGAGCCCAAATATTTTTGAGTTCCAGTAGTATAGAATATTCCCGAAGTTTCAGTTATTATTCTCATCTACTTGTTTATTCTGTCTGATTGTCTTTTTATAGTTACTTTGGCTAGTTTCTGGTTTAAAAAAACTTCCTTTTTTTGAACTGATAAATTGTTGTTCTTTCCCATCAGTTTATATATGGGCATTCATTGCTTTATCTTTTGTTTTGTTTTTTCAAGCTTTCATACTATAAACTACAAATACAGCTCAAGATCCTTTCCAACCAACAAGCCACAAGCACTGCATATTATGTTCTAAACTTCCTGTCCAATCATGTTTGCTCTTGTTTCTTAACACCAGTAGAAACTCTTTTGTTTCTGTCTTAATTTTGAGGTTAGTCAAGTACAAACAATTGATTTGAAAATTTGATAGGAAATTTCCCTTAAACATCCTTACATAACTCCAGTTAGCACTCCATGTTCACTTGCTCAATGATACGTTCCACTACCTCTTTTGGAGAACTCAAAACACTTATATACTTCTATATGTTATTTTAAAAAAAACTTAGAACACAGTAGAACACAATTACTAGTTGATAAGTAACTGGGAACAGTAACTGGGAAGCTGATAGCCAAAAATTTTGTTGGCTGAAAGATTCCATCAACTCTTCTTTTAATTCAGGAGGTCTTCTGATCCCTTCAAGACTTTCTGGATGCTGTCCTTTTTACTTAACATAGTCATTCAAAAGAAATGTAATGTTTTCAGATTCTTGTAGAACAGGGGTGTCAAACTCGCGTTGTCACAGTGGCATCACATGACGTATTACGACTTTTCCCCCTTTGCTAAACTGAGCGTGGCCATGGCCAGAGCGTGGTGCATCCAGGCCGTGAGTTTTACAGTCTTGTTCTAGGACATCCTATGCTCAGCGGTCCTATCCTATGCTCAGTGGTTGCTAACCATAAATTGCAAAAAAGGATGTCATGAATAGTAGAAGCACCACAGAAACAGACAAAGAAACATTTTTTGTTTTACAATTTCAAACTTCTAAGCATACATATGGGGTTATATGTTGTTCAGTCTTTTAATTGCTTCAACTCTTTGGCAACCAATGTTTTGTCAAGGATTTCTGCCAGTAACTAATTCTTTGTTAGCTTCTTATATCCTGTATCTTCAGTGATCTTATCTAACCATCTTGTCTACAACTGGGCTTTTCTTTATACTTTCATTTTTCCCAGCATCATGGTCTCCTCCAGTGGCTGTTTCTTTCAAATTATATATCCAACATACATAAGCTTTAGCTGCATTTTAATGCTTCCGGTGAAAAATCTGGTTTACTTTCATCTAGTATTTAATTATTTGTTGTCCTCCATGATTTTCTCAACTATTTTCTTCAGCACCACAATTCAAAGACAACCATTTTTCTTTGTTCAGCCTTCCTGATGACTCAGCTCTCACAGCCATAAATGAGAAAAACCACAACCCTGACAACACCTTTGGTGTCACTGTGACATTTCTGCATTCAATATTTTGATCAATTTGTCATATTTTTCTCCCAAGCAACAGACGTGTATTTCATATCCAAGGTCATTATCCCTATGAATATTAAGCCCTTTGCATCATCAGAAAAAGTCAAAAGTTTGAGCCAAACAGTGGTCATCATGGGCAGAAAATCAGGCACAACGATGCGAAGGGAAAGGA